ATTCATTGCATTGATGGGGCCTTTCTCCTCTTTCATTTCTCTGATGTATAATGAGCTCTGCCTTCCTGCAGAAGGCTTTGCCACATTCAGTACATTCATAAGGTTTCTCTCCTGTATGAGTTCTCTGGTGTTCAGTTAGCTTGAACTTTCTGGAGAATGCCTTCCCACATACACTGCATCCATGCGGTTTATTTCCTGTATGAGTCTTCTGATGTTCAGTAAGCTGAAGTTTCCTGAGGAAGGTTTTCCCACACTCACAGCACTCATAGGGTTTCTCTCCTTTGGGAGTTTGCTGATGTTCAGTGAGCTTGAATTCCATAGAAAAGGTTCTCCCACATACACTACATCCATGGGGTTTCTTTCCTGTATGAATTCTCTTATGTTCTGTGAGCTGAGACTTCTTGAGGAAGGCTTTCCCACATTCAGTATCTTTGACGGGCTTTCTCTCTTTTGTGTGTTTGATGATGTTTAATGAATTGTAACTTAGTGCTGATGGGTCTTCTACTTTCATGGAATTTAATTTCAGTATGAGTTTGCTTGTGATTAGCACAGAGAAAGGATCTCCCATCTCCACTATGCTCAGCAGGCTCTTTTATGTCACAGCTTCTACTTTGGTTGATTAAATCTAAGTGTGACTCCAAAGTTTTTCCGTGTAAATTAAACCTATCATGATTTGGCCTGAAAGGAAAATGACTTTTGCTCTGATGAACAATATTTCCACATGTGTTCAGTTCATAACACTGTTCTATCCTCTTTGGCACTTCTGGGTTTTGTAAGTGCTGAGGCAGATGATCATCAACTTTCTGAATTTCTAGGAAAGAAGAGAACAGTGAATCCTGTCACCGTGATATAGAATAAAACTACTCCAAAAATACTGTTGGGAGGGGGGCACTTGGGTGGCACAGTTGGTTGAGCATCCAACTCTTGATTTCAGCTGAGGTAGTGATGTCAGGGCGGTGAGTTCGAGCCCTATGTTGGGCTCCATGCTGAGTGTGGAGTTTGCTTAAGACCCTCTCTCCCTGGGGTGCCTGGGTGGCTCAGATGGTTAAGAGTCCGACTGTTGATTTTGGCTCAGGTCATGATCTCAGGGTTGTGAGATCAAGCCTCTCATCAGGCTCTGCGCTCAGTGGGGAGTCAGTTTCTCTCTCCTTCTCTCCCTCCTACCCCACCATGCACGCATGCTGTCTCTCTAAAATAAGTAAATCTTTAAAAAAAAGAAAAAGACTATCTCTCCTTCTACCCCACTCTCCCACTCTTGCTCTCTCATGTGCTGTCTCTCTAAAATAAATAAATCTTTAGGGGCGCCTGGGTGGCTCAGATGGTTAAGCGTCTGCCTTCGGCTCAGGTCATGATCCCAGGGTCCTGGGATCAAGTCCCACATTGGGCTCCTGACTCAGCGGGGAGTCTGCTTCTTCCTCTCCCTCTGCCTCTCCCATTGCTCATGCTCTCTCTCTCTCTGTGTATCTCTGTGTCTCAAATGAATAAATAAAATCTTTAAAAAAAAATATTGTAGGATGGCTGGCTCTTCAGTGGAAAACCTATGATATCAACCTAAAAGAAATTCCAAGTATATCCTTATATATATTCCTTATCTCTTAAAAAAAAAAAAAAAAACTTTTAGGGTGCCTGGGTGGCTTAGTTGGTTAAGCATCCAACTCTTGATTTTGGCTCAGGTCATGATCCCAGAGTTGTGAGACTGAGCTCCACATTGGGATCTGCTTTGAACATGGAGCCTGCTTAAGATTCTCTCTCTCCCTACCCCCTCTCCTCTCTCTCCCTCTCTAAATAAATAATAAATAAATAAAAATAGTTTTAAAAAACTTTTACAATTGTAGTTAAATACACATAAGATAAAGTTTACCATTTTAACCATTTTTAAGTGTACAGTTCTGTGTCATTAAGTACATTCACATTATGGTGCAGCCATCACCACTATTCATCTCTAGAATATTTTCATCTTCCCCAGCTAAAAAACACTGTACTTGTTAAACACTAGCTTATTATCTGTTGGAAATGTTTAAAAATTGGTACTCTTTAAACACTAACTCCTTATCTGTTGGGAATGTTTAAAAACACAATAATATAAAACACAAATCAAAAGATGACAGCTATCAGTGTAAAACAGGGTAAATTCACAATGAATCAAGATTTGTCTGCTTTATAAGTAGGACCCTGGGGGCAGTAAAATACAAGGAAGTCACTAGCAATATCAGATCACAGAGGCTGGAGGGATACCTGATTCAAAATGGGGACAGACACAATTCACTCATTCAGTACATCCTTCTTAAGTGGCTACTACTGTATACCAAGCATGGTGCTAGTGTTAGAGAAACACAAAAATACTTTTTATTTTCACTGAAGTCATATTCTAGGGGTGGAAAGAGAAACAAAAAACACGCAAGAAAAAGAATGAAGTAGGCAGTTGCAGATGCAACCCTGGTTTGAGGAAGCAAAGGAAATGAAAATTCGAAGAAATCTGGATGTGTTTTGAAGGATGGCTGTAGGAAAACATTTCTGTGTTTCCCACTAATTTCGATCTCTTTTACTGTGTGTTAGAACTGCAGTTCATCAGCTAGGGTCACGATAGCACTCTTGGGGAACTTTGCATAAAGAGGCCCTCAATTCTAATAAAACCAGACTTTCTGAGGAAGCAACATTGGTAAGATTATATTGAAAATCCCTTCAATAAAAACCTCGCATTTAAGAAATGCTTGACACATAGATGGAAAAGTATGGTCTCTCCCCAGCCTAGCTATACAGTCATTTGATGAAGAAATAAATGGAAGACCAAGCTGGATTTTCTTCTTGCACAAGGAGGAATGAAAAACAGGCCCTTGACTCAAGAGTGGGACTCAGGTATGTCCACATCATACAGTTACAGTATCTTTAGGAGTGGCTGGTGTGACTGGCGCACAAAGTACAATGGGAATTCAGAGAAGGAAGATAATACTATATTTTTGTGTAGCATAAACCATCTCATGGAAAGAATTCAAAGTGAAAGAATACCTATTGTTTGGGAAGAACAAACAAAAAATGACATCCTTATCCCTGAGTTCTTACCTTACATGATGAATCAGCAACTCTCAAGACAATGTCTATGGCTTTGTCTTTCAAGAAACACTTGCTCATCACATGCTCTCTCACCACATTTGTTACACACTCATCTTTTGATCCCTAATTGTCCAAGGCTCTTGTTTTCTTTATCTGGATCTATTCCTCAGAAGATCTCATCTGGTCCAGATTTCTATCTCCACACCTAACCTCTCCCTGAACTTTCCAGGTACAGCAAACTGTGCAGAGAGCTCTGCTTGGATGCTAACAAGCATCCAACTTAGAATCTCCATTATAGAACTCCTGACTTCCCAGCCCAAATCTCTACATATCTTCCCTGTCACGTGAATGACAACTCCACTCATGCCAAAAATTCTTAGCATCATCATTCATCTGTTTCTTTTTCTCACTCCATGTTATGGACTGAATGTTGTTCCCCAAGGAGATACAGTCAGTTGCTAACCCCCTGGTACCTGTGAATGTGACCTTTTTTGGAAATAGTCTGCAGATATGATCAAGTTAAGATGAGGTCATACTGGGTTAGGCTGGGCCAGTGACTCGTATCTTTATAAGGAAAGGGCGATTTGGACACAAAGAAATATGCACAGACATGACCATATGTTGACAGATGCAAAGATTGGAAAGATGTTTCTACAAGTTAAGGAAGGCCAAGAATTTCCAGCAGCCACCAGAAACTAGAAAGAGGCAAGAAAAGATTCCTGTCTCAACTCTGGAGAAAATGTGACCTTGATTTCTGACTTTTAGCATATAGAACTATGAAAGAATAAATTTCTGTTGTTTTAAGCCACCCAGTTTGTAATATTTGTTAAGCAGCCATAAGAAACTAACATACCTGATACCTACTTCAATGGCAAATTCAATCAGCCGCTTTATATAGCCAGAATCTTATAGTACCCCTTAAGCCTAGTGAAGTCACCAACGACCAGGTCTCCTATCTGGCTTTTTGCTTCAATTGCTGCCCTCTTCCAGGATAGGATTGACTATACTCTTAGTCAAAGTGATACTTCTAAAATATAAATTATATTGTCACTGCTTTAAACTTTATAAACTTCTGGGGCACCTGGGTGGCTCAGTCGTTAAGTGTCTGCCTTCGGCTCAGGTCATGATCCCGGGGTCCTGGGATCGAGCCCCGCATCAGGCTCCCTGCTCGGCAGGAAGCCTGCTTCTCCCTCTCCCTCTCCCACTCCCCCTGTTTGTGTTCCCTCTCTCGCTGTCTCTCTCTGTCAAATAAATAAATAAAATCTTTAAAAAATAAAAATAACTTTAAACTTCCTAATGTTTCCTTACCTCACCAGGAGTAAAATCAAGTCCTTGAAATGGACTATAAGGCCCTACGTGACCAACCAACCTATCACTACTACTCCATTGACTTCATCTCCAGTAATTTTCCCTTTTGTTTACTCTACCCTATCCACACAGGTTTCCTTCATGTTCCTCAAACACACTCTTGCCTCCAGCTCTGCACTTCCCATTCTTCACTTTTCATCCAGGAAACCTACTCATGTCACTCATCCTCTGCTCATAGGTATCTTCTATTATATAGACATTCCTAGTCATAAAAGGGCAGGCCCCAACCCCACCCACTGTTCCACTATGCCAATGGATTGGTGTTCAGAGCCCGTTTCACCACTAGACACAGTTTCTATGTATTTTTGCCACATTTTAAATTGTGGCAAAATACACATAACATAAAATTTATCATCTTAACCACTCTCTGAATTTACAGTTCAATGGTATTAAATATATTCATAATGTTATGCAACCATCATCACTATCTCCATAACTCTTCATCATATAAAACTCAAACTCTGCATATTTGTTTTTGTTACATTTATGCCTCTTCCTTTTTGAGAGTAGAGACTTAGGTCTTCGAAAGAAGTGAAATTTGTGTCATGGATGGTAATATGGTCAACTGGGACTTAATGTCATCAGTCTACGGGGAGAAAAAGGAAAGCTTTAGGAATAAGAATCCAGGGGCGCCTGGGTGGCTCAGTCATTAAGCGTCTGCCTTCGGCTCAGGTCATGATCCCAGGGTCCTGCGATCGAGTCCCACATCGGGCTCCCTGCTCAGCGGGGAACCTGCTTTTCCCTCTCCCACTCCCCCTTCTTGTGATCCCTCTCTCACTGTGTCCCTCTCTGTCAAATAAATAAAATCTTAAAAAAAAAAAAAGGAATAAGAATCCATCAACAAAATCTAACTTGAACTAATAAAGATTAGAATTAACAAATATACAAAGGAATTACAGTAAAGCAGACATGAGGCTTTAGGCTAGGAACTGAGAATGAGAAATTATATAAAGGTCTTTCCTAATTAAAGAAGAGGAATAGCAGACACCTTAAATACCCCAGGGAGTAGAGAAGCCTCAAGGTAATCCCAGCATGGCCAGGATTTAAGATGTATAAAAGTAAAAGAGAATCTCAATTTTCAAAAAGATGATGGGGCACCTGGGTAGCGCAGTTGCCTGGGCATCCAGCTCTTGGCTTCAGCTCAGGTCTGATCTTGGGGTTGTGAGATCAAGCCCTGTGTTGGGCTCTGTGCTTAGTGCAGAGTCTGCTTGGGTTTCTTTCTCTCCCCTCTGCCCCTCCCCTGGCTCACTCGTGCTCTCACTCTCTCTGGAATAAATAAATCTTAAAAAAAAAAAAAAAGATGAAGCTGGAAACTAATATGTCAATTATACCTCAACAAAACTGAACAAATATTTAAAAAAATAAAAAAGATGATGGAAAGGGATTTTCTTAGAGGGAAGATCATTCCCCATTCTAAGTGTGAACTCTGAGGGAGTTGCCTTGAAAACAGGTAAGCTACAGTTGACCGTTGAACAACACGGGTTGGGGTGTCAACCCTCTGGGCAGTCTAAAATGTAACTTTGACTCCCCCAAAACATAACTAGTAATAGCCTACTATTGACCAGAAGCCTTACCAATAAGTCAATTAGCACATATTTTGTATGTTATATGTAATATATACGGTATTTTAACAATAAGCAGAGGAAACAAAATGTTATTAAGAAAATCATAAAGAAGAGGGGCACCTGGGTGGCTCAGTAGGTTAAGCTTAATCATCTGCCTTCAGCTCAGGTCATGATCCTAGGGTCCTGGGATCGAGCCCCGAATCAGGCTCTCTGCTCAGCAGGGAGTCTGCTTCTCCCTCTGCGCCCACCCCCCGCTCATGCTTGTGCTCTCTCTGAAATAAATAAAATCTTAAAAATTATATTTAAAAAATCATAAAGAGACAATATAGTACTGTATGAAAAAAATCCATGCAGTTCAAACTTATGTTGTTCGAGGGTCAACTGTAGATAGATTATACAGTGTTAAAGGAGATAACTTGGGAATCTCCACAGAGAACAAGAACTTAACACTTTTGAATAAAGTAAGATTTTAAGGCCTTTGAGATAGAGCAGAAAATAAAAAGAGAACCTTTAAAGAAGCTGAGAGTGGGGAAAGAGAAAAAGAAGCAGGTACATGTATATTAACAAACCAGGTTACCATGGGGGCAAGGCATCCTAGGTGGGGTTGGATGTTTAAAGTGAAATAAATATTTTCCAATGGGGCAGGAAGGTGTATTAGAAGACAGCAATGAATTCAAAGTTTCCTCTTAGCAGAGAGGCATGGAAGGAGGAATTTCATAGGAAGAGAGGTGAAGGGAACTCTGACAAGTGATGAAGAATGGGAAGATGTGGAAATCTAAGCAAGAATAATCCTAGGGTAAAAAATGTTGACATTTAAGAAGAAATAAAGAGGGATTAGTTCCAAAAAGAGACAAAAGAGTATATTTTCCTCTAAATTCCAACAAAGAAAAAGCTCTCGTATGGGGAGAGGGATATATAGTTCAGTTTCTATATCCTCAGACACCCTCACCACTATGATGCCTTCTCTAAATGACAAGAAAGTGACTTCCCCAGCCTCCCCCCGCCAACCACCTTGCTGGTTTTCTCTCACTTACGTGGATGGGTTTGACTTTGGACTTCATCTTCTAAAATCCAGAGTGGTTCTCCTTGTTCCAGTTCAGAGAGTGCATCTGGTTGGCTGGCTTGATACCCTGTTTATGGGAAATGACAGAAGACTCAGGCTCATCAGATTGCACTAGGCTCTGCAGTGATATGAGAATGGTACATGTTAGGGACTGCACAGTTTGCATGTTCACAAATCAAAGCTTTTCTCTAAGACAAGGAGAGGTTATACCTTCTCATCTGGGGCCAGGGAGGGAACAGAGAATCTACACTTCAGAGCAGCACAGATATGCCACAGCTCAGAAGCTGAGAGAGGAAAGGCCACTGACTGGGTATCCTCTGAGTGACAGGGGAGCTGTCCTCACCCACTGACACCAGGTTCCTATAGTTCTCCAACATCACATCCCAGTATAGCTCCTCCTGGGCAGGGGCCAGGAGCTGCCATTCCTCCCAGGTAAAGTCCACGGCCACATCCTCCAGTGTCAGTGATTCCTGTAACAACAGATCCTGTTAATATGAGTATTTCCCTTTTATTGAAATGGAAGGTGTAAGATAAAATATACTGGCCTCTGCCCCCGGTTCCTGGCAGAGCTCCTAAAACTGTAATTTCCTAGGTGATAAGGGCTCTAGGATCATCTTCTGTTCTATATTTGGTATTTAACCCCAGTTTCTCACACAGGGCTCCCGAAACCCTTATAAATTCCTAAGTGTTAAGAATAATATGAGTGTCTTTGTTCTAATGGGGCAACTAGTTGGGCTCCTGGATAGTGCTTGTCATCAGAAAGACCAAGCCATGATTAGAAGCTTGGAACTTTCAGGGGCACCTGGGTGGCTCAGTTGGGTTAGCGTCCAACTCCTGGTTTCGGCTCAGGTCATGATCTCATGGTCATGGGATCAAACCCAGTATATTGGACTCCGCAGTCTGCTTCAAATGCTTTCTCCCTCCCCCTCTGCTTCTCTCTCTGCTCGTGCTCGCTCTCTAAAATAAAAAAATAAATTAAAAAAAAAAAAAAGCTTGGACCTTTCAGATCTGCCCCCCTCATTCTCTTGAGAAGGGAGAGGGGCTGGAAATAGATTTAATGATCAGTCATGCCTAGTGAGGAAGCCTCCATAAAATAGCAAAAGTATAGGGTTTGGAAAGCTTCTGGGTTGCTGAACATGTGGAGGTGCTGGGAGAGTGCTGCCTGGAGAGGGCATGGAAGCTCTGTGCCCCTTCCCACATACCTCACCCTACACATCTCTTCCACCTGACTGTTCATCTGTATCTTTTATCATATCTTTTATAATAAACTGGTAAATGTGTTTCCCAAGTTCAGTGAGCCACTCTAGCAAACTAATTGAACCTGAATTTGAAGGGTTGTGGAGAACTTCCAATTTGTAGTCAAGTCAGACAGAAGTTATGAGAAACCTGGGGCCTACTATTTTCAATTCACATCTGAATGGGGGACAGTCTTGTGGGAGTGAGCCCTTAACCTGGGGTCTGACACACTAACTCCAGGTAGATAGTGTCAGAATTGATTTGAATTGTAGACCACCCTGCTGGTGTTGGAAAATTGCTTGGGGGGGAGGGGGTGGAAATCCCCACACATCTGGCATTAGAAATGATGTAAGTGTGGTAATGATGTGAGAGTAAAGGGGACACAAAGGAGGAAGGGTGAGTTTTTCCCAACTCGAGGAATGTGAAGGAAGTTGTTCTGCTCATTTTCACCTTGTAGGCTACATCTGTATTCTTATTTTATTTCAATTCATCGCAAAGGAAGGAAGTCATTAAAATATTCTGTCATCCTTTCATTCAACAATTCACAGATTTCTGTGATATGCAGCCATTAAATTCTCTTGCTAACCTGAGATCATTTGCAATATATGTGTTTCAGCACCTTTTTGTCAATCACTGTATTAAATGCTAGTGACATCAGAATGACATAGTATAATTTCATTCATGTGAAAATGTCTTAATAGATATACTTACCTACATAGATTCTTGTATATTTATGCACACACATGCATGCACATTTAAACCCACTCACAGATGTCCACACAGGTAAATGCCCGAAACATAGGAACACACTACCAAGCATTTGTTAATGATGTGTCAGAGAATTAAGGGGGGGGGAACGTATGGAGGGGAGCTTTATCACTGTGTACTAGATAATGACTTTTACATTGAAAATATGTCCTGAGACTGGTTCTTTCTGACACCAAATACGTGGTGTCTTTTCCAATACCAATTTTCCAAGTCTCTCATTCTCCAACACTGGGTGTCCTATACTTCAATCCTATCTGACACTTAACTACTCAGAGTTAACATCAGACTTTACAGGCTTAAGGGCTCAGTTCCGCAAGACTCCCTTCACTTCAGACACCAGTCACAAGTACCAGGTCCCAGGTTACTTCTATCCAGTGTGGCTATAAATTTAAGGGTTCCCACAACCTCCCCCTCTCAGGTTTGATAATTTGCTAGAACAACCAGAGCACTCAGGAAAATGTACTTAAAATTACAATTAATTATAAATCATACAAATAGACTGCCAAATCAAGAGGTACACAGGTGAGGTCCAAAAAGGCCCTGAGTGTAGGAGCCTCTGTCTCTGTGGAGTTGGGGTACACCACCCTTCTAGCAGGTAGATATATTGGCTCACTTGAAAGCTCTCTGACCCCTGTAGGGTTTCTTTTTTTTTTTTTTTTAAGATTTTATTTATTTATTTGAGAGAGAGCGAGCATAGAGGGAGAGTGAGAGGGAGAAGCAGACTCCCCGCCGAGCAGAGAGCCTGACGTGGGGCTCAATCCCAGGACCCTGAGATCATGACCTGAGCTGAAGGCAGACCCCCAACCGACTGAGGCACCCAGGTGCCCCCTCTGTAGGGTTCCTCTGGAGGTTCCATTACATAGGCATGATTGACTAAATCACTGGTTACTGGTGACAGGACTCTTATCTCCAGCTCCTCTCCCGTCCCCAGAGGTCCCAGGTGGTGGTGAAAGTTCCAACCCTCTAAGTGAAGGCTTGGTCTTTTTGGGGACTAGCCCCCATGCTGAAGCTATCTAGGGGTTTACCAGAAGTCACTTCATTAGCATAAATTCAGATATGTTCAGGGTGCCTGGGTGGCTCAGATGGTTAAGCGTCTGCCTTCGGCTCAGGTCATGATCCTGGAGTCCCGGGATCGAGTCCCACATCGGGCTCCCTGCTCGGCTGGGAGTCTGCTTCTCCCTCTGACCCTCCTCCCTCTCCTGCTCTCTGTCTCTCATTCTCTCTCTCTCAAATAAATAAAATCTTAAAAAAAAAAATTCAGATATGTTCAAAGAGGCTTGTTATGAAAACAAAAGACACTCCTACCACTCAGGAAATAACAGGGATTTAGGAGCTCTGCCAGGAATCGGAGACAAAAGACATATATATTTTTTATTATGCCACAATGAGTCATTTGTGTAACTAAAATAAAGCCAATAAAAAGGTGGGAAGTAACAACTAGATTTTGAACACAGAAGTGAAGGCTCTATATTTTTTGAGATAAGCTGAAGTTCAAAAATAACCTTTGTGGATCTCAACAACCCAAGCCATTACCAGACAACAGAACTTGTAACTCTTGATGGCCAAATCTAATGTAACTCTTGATGGCCAGTATTCAACCACCAGGTCAGCCACCTGTTCACAGAGGACCTCTGAAAGCTCTGCAGACCTTCCATTTTACTGGCACCTTAGGTTCTACTCAAGGATAAATCCAGATGGCAGCAAGGCTGGGTATGCAAGTCACCAGGCTGTGGTCTCCTCAAAACCTGTCTACTGAATTCTACTTGATCGGGTCCCACCGGGGACTCAGAATAATCATGTGAGCAGTAGCCATGCCGGTACATCGATTAGGAGAAGGCTGCTGAGAACACAGAGCCCACCATATCACCTCTGGAAAGAAACCATCAGAAACCGTTCCTAAGACTTAAGTGCCGTGAAATGGTGACCTCTCCTGAGTCCTGAGTCAGTGCCTATGATGCAACTTATCGTGATTTTCTGGTTGCAATGGCTGTCAGAGGTAGGAGAGGCACATTGATGGTTTACGTCACCAGGAGGATCCTGCAGAGCCATACACTATATTCTAGCACTGGTCATGTATGAACTCTAGGAACAACGTGTTCCTGATCCCACTCTGTCCTGATTTTGAAGGTATAGTCTATTTCTCCCCAGAGCCCATTTTCCCCAATTTATGCTTTTTATTTAGTTGAACTGATTTTTTCAGGCTTCCACAAATCCACGAAGGACTCAAATTATCAGTAAAACAAACCAAAAGTCCACCTGGGCTTTCATCATTTTCTTCTGTAAGAAATGCTGACTAAGAAGGATGTTAGTCTCTTCTGGATCTGCGCTAATTTTCTGTTCAGAAATCTCAGTCTTAGGACAGGGATGTCCCACGAATGGCCAAATGCAACTCCAGGAGCCTCCTGCTCATCCTTTAGTGGGTCTCTCTTACTCCTGGGAATCCAGGACCTGAGGATGAAGAGCAAGTTCATTCTGGATGACACATTCGCTCTGGGCCCAGATGCTGACACTGTGGCTGTGCATCCACCTTGAGTCAAAGTCATTATTTGTAACTGTCTCTTTACTTGGTCCCCCCAAAGGCTATATAACCCGCGGAAATAAAACATAACAATCTGAATGTGGGGGAGGTATGCCTTTCTTCTGTGAAGTAGAAGTAGCATGAATGATAAGGGGAAGGTGGGAAAGAAAGGTTAGTTTCTGGACATATTTTCCCTTAAATCCACACCCATTTGTACTGGGTTGAATGATGCCTCCCCCCAAAAAAAGATATGAACCTGTGAATGTGGCTTCATGTGGAAAATGGGTCTTTGCAGCTGTAATTAAGGATCCTGAGATAAGAAAGTTGAGGAGTATCCAGATGGGCCCTAAATCCAAGTCCCCTTGTACCAGACACACAGGGAAGATGCGACCATCTAAAGACGGAGGCAGAGAGTAGAGATGTGTTGCCACAAGCCAAGGAACACCTGGAGAATCTGTTAGAAAAGGAAAAGGAAATAAATGGATGTTGGGAAGATGTGTTGGGAAAACCCAAGACCACCCCCAGGTTCAGTGATTAAGTGGGACTCACAGGCCTCAGCATATAATTTATAACCACAAAAACATACAAAGCAAAATCAGCAAAGAGAAAAAGGTCCATATGGCAAAAGCTGGAGGAAATTAGGTGCCAGCTCCCAAGAGTCCTGTTTCCATGAAGTCACACAGGATACACTTACTTCCCCTAGCAACGGTTGTGATAACACATGTGAAATGTGTTAGCTTATTAGAGAAAAGTGCCCATGGCTTTTTACTGGGGGTTCACGTAGGCACCCACTGCCTAGCGCATACCAAAATCCCAGAATCCTAGAGGAGACCAGATGTTTAGGGTAAACCATATTGGTTTGGTTTTTTTTTTTAAGATTTTATTTATTTATTTGACAGAGAGCACAGGCAGGGGGAGCGGGAGAGGGAGAAGCAGGCTCCCCGCTGAGCAGGGAGCCGGATGCAGGGTTCAATCCCAGGACACTGGGGTCATGCCCTGAGCGGAGGTGGACGCTTAACCAACTGAGCCACCCAGGCACCCCAACCATATTGTGTGAAAGGACAGTTATGAATAGTGAGCCATTCAATAGAGAATGATGAGAACCCTCTCCAAATCTAAGTTCCCAGATGTCAGGCAAGGGACAACCTTGTAAGCAGGCCTTTCTTAAGAGCTGTGTTGACTTCTGCAACAGCAAGTAACCAACAGTGTCTGCTACAATATATTTGTATGTTAGAAAAGTCCTGTGATCACCAAAATTGATGCTGAGGAAAACATTCCATAAAACTCCAATACCTATTTCAAATTTGAGCCCTTGGTGGGTTAGGAATTCATTACTTCCATAGCATGAAGAACAAAACGAAACACTACCTATGAATTTTTTTAATACATACATACACTACTATTCTCATCTCTTTCTAAAACACACACACAAAAAGAGTGTATTGTTTGAATGCATATACATCTAGGAAAAGCATGAAAATATGTATGATATAAAACAAGACAGCAGTTATTATGGGGAGGAAAAAAGGCTGCTCCCCGCACTGCTTCAGGTCAGTCCCAAATCCAGGTTGTTACCTGCACTTCTGACCAATTGGCTATAAATCACGTTTCAGGGACCTCCTCGGGTTCAAATAATTTGCTCAAGTGGTTCACAGAAGTCAGAGAAACATTTTACTTACAAGATTACCAGCTTACTGTAAGATGATGTAACTCAGGAACAGCCAAACAGAAGAGATGCAGAGGGTGTGGGGAAAGGGCAAGTAGCTTTCATGCTGCTCTCCAGGTTTGCCACTCTCCCAGCACCTGCACTTGTTTTCCAGCCCGGAAGCTCTCTGTTCCCTGGCCTTTGGGGGTTTTATGGAGGCTTTGTTACACAGCCATGATTAACTCATTGGCCATTGGTGGTTGATTCCACCTCCAGATGGCGCCCCTCCACGGAGGTTATGCGGATGGACTAAAAGTCCAACCCTCTAATCGCAGGGTTGGTTCCCCTGGCAATCAGCCCCCACCCACAGGTGCTTTCCAAAAGTCTCCTCATTAAGAGCAAGAATCCAGGTTAAAAGGCCAGATTCATTCCGTCCCAAAATCCAAACACTTGTCACTGGGCCAATATTATTTGGAGGTGGGCGGGGCCAGGAAGAAGGATAAATAACTGATAGAGCAAATACGGTAAAATGTTAATGGCACAATCTAGGTGGTGGGTATGTGTTCACAGTAAAATTCATTCAACTTTGCTGTGTGTTGGAATTTTTCATAATGAAATGTTGTTTTCATAATTTCGTAATAAAATTTTGAGTTGGAAAAAGCTATTAGTAATAACAAAGATTCGGTGAAGTAACCAAAACAAAATAATGTTTAATAATATTCTTATTTATTTTAA